CAGGTCTGATGAAGAAGCGCTCCATTTATTTATTCGTTTAGAAAGTTTGGTTCTTCACGCACACGCAACATCAGTCAAGGCGAAAATCTAAAACATTCTATGGCAACTGGACCGGATCATATAGGCCACGATGTTTTTGACAAGTTCATTAAATTATCATTATTATTAGAGGAACTTATGGGGGCATTTTTTGCCCCTCTCCTTGTGATATCAGGGGCAAAATTATATTTCTTAGGCGCAGTTTTGCCCTTTGCCCTCGTGTATTTCCGACACTGATGTAATGTTATGTGTATATGCTTCAGTAACTAGTTAATGCATGCGACGCCCCCAAATGTGGGGGCTCTCAGGGTTAGGGGGCTCATAAATATCATCCAGAAATTGCTCATTTTGATAGCCAGAATTGTACATGTGTACATTTCATTTACCGGATTAAACAGCAACGTATGGGCAACACTATCATACAACTCACTTTTTACACACTCCAAACACAACGCTCGGGGATATGCGGCACTTCTTGCAACTTTACTCGCTGAAACTTCTGTCAATCAACACCCGCTTCGACACCCGCCTTCCTGAGACTCTGACGCAGGCGGGCTCATTGACTGAAATCAACCGATGATAGGCTGAGCGACAGCCCCATACACACACACCAACTGGAATTTAGACATGGATGACAGCCAGAAACAGGCTCTGAGAGCACCCTAGCTCTCAAAATGATTCCAAACGGCTGTATTTGGATGTATTGAATAATATGAGTGATTAAAAAAAGTGAAATATATAGTATATAAAAGTACAATGTAAGGGCTGCAACAGCTGGTTCCAAAATGACGACCTCGCGTGACCTCTCTGTACTAAAGCCTCTTATTCTTCACTTTATCCCAGCCAACCTTTATTCTACGACTACTGATCGGTTGTGCTATGATTTGGGAGAGTTTTTAGGCTCTCAGCTGCATTATTTCAAAAACATAATATCAATAAAAGTGCTTTTTTTTTCAGGCGAACCTGAATATTTTCAATTTGAGCTGTGTAATATCTTCATGTACTATATTAACCAGCAACATATACACAATATTACCCATCTGAACAATCTCACAAGTGTTATCTGATTATAGCATCAAAAATTATTAAAATAGACCTTGTAGTTACAGAAGTGTGGTCTCTTTAGTATGGGTATGCCATTTTCGAGCAGAGGCCTACAAATAGGGCTAGAGTTTAAAAGGTTAAACCTTATTATGACCTCAACCAAGCCTTTCCTGCATGTGTTGATCACAACTCCACATTCGGCGGGAGTTTATTATTATTTTCAGTTCATGTCATAGAATCTCAATTGATTTGATGCCAGAATTGACCTCCACCATTGAGACTGAAACATTTTGTCTCGGATATTTTGTAGTTCATTTTTCACCGTGTTTAGGGACATTTTAGTTTTTTACATCTTCATCTGATGCTTAATAGAAGTTCTATTAAGCATCAGATGACTGAGAGCTACTCTGAAACTTGTTTGGTTGAGGGGTCATCATACATTGTCCATCACGGTCTCGATAAAAAGCCTCATTATCTCTACTCTTGCTCTCTTTCCTGAGCCCTCTGGCCTTTGGCAGGCTCACATTGGGTAAGACCCGCTCTGTAGAGACTGGCAACCAATCAAAACCACTAATGACCGTCTGTGACATTCCCCTGTTCACTTCATGCATGCAACATCATTAAAACAAAAAACATTTGATATTTTTGATCTGATAGGCCACGTCTGCGGGGTAACTACGGTGACAGAGGCCCTAGAGATCACTCTGCGTCTTCTGAGGAAGAGGAAGCCACTGCTCCTCCTGCGCCCTCCTCCCTGTCTCCGCCTTCCCTGCTGTCCCTGCCGTCCTTTAAGGACGTGGGCAATGAGAGAGGAGGGGAGAAGGAGGTGTGGGTGTCTGTGTTCAGGTACTTGAGCAGAGCCGAGCTGCTGGCCTGCATGACCGTCTGTAAGGCCTGGTACAAGTGGTACGTCGCCCTCTTTTAAGCAACAAAAAATACCCACACTCAACCTACAGTTTGTTTTTGAGTCTTGTGCTTAGCTGGTGAACAGGAAGCAGTGCTCCCACACAGCTTGTGAAAAAAACAATTGTGTCTCGTTGTCATGTGCAGGAGCTGTGACAAGCGTCTGTGGAGCCACGTGGATGTGAGTCGGTGCAGCCCGCTCAGTAACCAGGCCCTGGCAGGCATCATTAAACGCCAGCCCACCTCCCTGGACCTGTCCTGGACCCCCCTGGCCAAGAGACAGCTTAACTGTCTGCTCACAAGGCTCCCAGGTAGAAACACACACACACACACACACACACACACACACACACACAGATCCTCCTGTCCCTGCATGTCTCATTACACCCCCTTCTCTGTCTTTGTCTTCAGGTCTGAGGGAGTTGAAGGTAACTGGTCTGTCCTGGTCCTGTCTGTCAGCGATGGTCTCTCCCACTCTGCCCTACCTGCGGCTGCTGGACCTGCGCTGGTGTGAAGGTCTTAAAGATGCCCAGATTAAAGAGATCATCATCCCGCCTGGTCAGTAGCAGCAGAAATGAGCAGCATCAAAGCTCAGTGACTGTATTCCCATTATGAGAGGCCAAAGAAAGATTAATGAGCTCTCTGATCCACAACAGTTGGTAGTCTATACTGAAGGCCTTTTCCTTTACTGGTCCCTCTGTTTATCTGTCTGAAGGCAGCTGGTCACTGTTTCTGCTGTCTCTAACTGGAGTGATTATGTCACTGTGAAACCACAGTTACACACAGCAGATCCACTGGTTAAGTTCTGCGCAACCAGCACCAGACTGTTGGAAACCAACCACAGAGATCAAACGTGTTGTTATAGGTCCTATAATTGCAAAACGGGGTTGCACAGCTAAATGCAACTTGTAGTGGCGTATTGCCACGTCCCTGACGTAGTGGGCAGGGCGAGCTGCACCGCGCCGCTGGGTTCACTAAAATGAATCGCATATCTCCAGTATTGATCTATCCATCTCTGTCTGTTCCTGCAGGTTCAGAGTCGTCTCGCAGCAGACTGAGGAACATGGTGACGCTGCGTCTTTCCGGTTTGGACGTCAGTGAGTCCACTCTGAGGCTGCTTCAGCGCCACATGCCCCAGCTGGAGAGACTGGACCTGGCTCACTGCAAGGACATAACGGACTCGTCTATCGCCCTGCTGGCAGCAGCCGGGACTCACACCCGCAACAGTCTCACTGAACTCACACTGGCAGGTGGGTATTTGAGCAAAGGCACACTCCCACTGATTGAATACATGGCCTTTCATTAGGGCCCGAGCACCGATGTAGTCGGAGCGGAGGACCTATTGTTCTTCTAATGTTTATTATTATTGTCGTACGTGTTTCATCGTGAAAAGGAGGTGCTTGGGATTTTGAAATTAGGCACGCAAGCCAGTCTGGCAAAAATTGCAATCTGATTGGGGTGTCCAGCTGGGTGTGACATATTGGCTCGATAGTGCCCCAACATTGGGTTTCACCTAGCTGTATGAAATTTGGTAGGTATGTGGAACGTGATGGGACGTACAAAAAAATCCTGTTGGAGTTTTTCACTAAACCAAACAGGAAGTCGGCCATTTTTTATTTGATGACGTTCCAAAAATTATCGAACTATGTATTTGTTGCGTGGCGGCAAAAAAACACTATTCACCATGAAACAGGAAGTTGTTGTAACTCGGCCGTACATCCAAATTTCTCATATGTCATAACATCCTGACCCGGAACAAATTGTCATATATGACAATTTGGAATCATAGTCATAGCGCCACCTACTGGTAACAGGAAGTTAAATTCTCTATACTTTGGATGGCTTCTCTTAGTAGGTAAATCAGATCAACATCAAATTAGTTCCACACAAATGTGGCAAGTCGGCTCGATGGCGCCCCTTCAAGATTTCGACGATGCAGCTCGCGCAGTACGTTTCACCTAGATGTTTAAAATTTGGAAAGCAGATGTATCGCATGTAGACTTAAAAGAAAGTCTCCGGGGTCCATGCTCTAAACCAGGGGTCTCAAACTCATTTTCACTCTGGGCCACATCAGCATCACGGTTGCCCTCAAAGGGCCGGTTGTAAATGTAAGGCTGTGTAAATGTAACTACTCCGAACATATTGGTAAATAACTGTCTCTGCATTTGATTATTGTTTATTCAAGTGTGAAAATATTGTACATGCAGTTATATAAATGTAAAAATATATTTAAGCACATTTCTGTTATTATAACTTAAATCCTTTTAGTTTAGGGTTAAGAAACCCACATTACTCTATCAAACTTTTAAAGAAAATAGCAAAGACAAATATCAAACAAGTTATTACAATAATTTTGTTCAATGCTTAAAATCCTTTCAAGGGTGCGTTTGCACAATCCCACGTGAAGTATTTCATGTGTTTTAAAGCCACGTTTAAAGTAGTCTTCAATGTACTCACAATACATTTCCATTTCAAGTGTACAGTAACCAGCCAAAGAGCTGCTTCTATGACTGTGTGTTTGAGTATCTCATCATTATGACTTTCTATATCATAATTTTGACTTTCTATCTCATAACTTCGACTTTCTGTCTCATGATTCTGACTTTCTATCTCATGATTCTGACTTTCTGTCTCATGATTCTGACTTTCTATCTCATAACTTTGACTTTCTATCTCATAACTTTGACTTTCTATCTCATAACTTTGACTTTCTATCTCATGATTCTGACTTTCTATCTCATAATTTTGACTTTCTATCATAGTTATGACTTTCTGTCTCATAACTTCGACTTTCTATCTCATAATTTTGACTATCTCATAATTTTGACTTTCTATCATAGTTATGACTTTCTGTCTCATAACTTCGACTTTCTATCTCATAATTTCGACTACGGGGATATTTTTATTATCAAGTCTAACTTAATAATTTTTTTATTTAATTCAATTTTTTTTTTTTGCTGGCAGATTCGCGGGCCACATAAAATGACGTGGCGGGCCGGATTCGGCCCGTGGGCCTTGAGTTTGAGACCCCTGCTCTAAACCCTACCGAAAGTCAGCCATTTTGAATTTTGTTTGAATTTCTTGTGTTTTTTTTTTTTTTTGCCATTTCCAGGTGCTGTAATCGGATCAACTTAGAATTTGGTCAGAACAATCTAAAGGCCTTAGTGATTAAAAGTTACTAAAAGCTTGAGGTTTCATCGAACGATGTGGATGTGGTGTGGCAGCCATTTTACATGGTTCACCATGGGCTGTTGTAACTCAACTGTACTTTGTCAAAACTGTCCCAAACTTGACATGCTTGATGACTGTCATGACTTTAGGACTTCTGTATGCCAATATTAACTCATAGTCATAGCGCCACCTACTGATGACCATGGCCGTAAGCAGGATTCTATAATTACGGCGGCCCAAACATTGAACACCACCAGAAAAAGACTTCTCTGATCTAAATATGTGCAAACTAAGATGTTTGGAGAGCAGAAATTGGATAAAAAAAGGTTTACAAATCGCGCTTGTACGTGGACTTTTCATTAATAGTAAATTGAATTGTTTTTGTTTGGTTTGGAGCCAGGCCGTAATGTAAAGTAATTCAGAATCGTTTATTTGCCACGGTATGTTGCACATACAAGGAATTTGACATGACGGGTGGTGCATAACATTAAACATTAAACAATCAACACAGTGCAAAAAAATAATAATAATAATTTCATGCAACGTGAAGTTTGTTTAATAAAATCAAACTGCACCCAGCCTAATTTATATGATGGATTATTCTACAGTGATTGTCAGAGCTACCTGCACAAACAAATGACCTGCAATTACTTTGAAAGTCTGTTATGTTACTAACAGTGAAGCGCATTCACACACATTCACTTTTTTATCAATTTTTACAGAATTACAGTTATGATTGTATTCGGAGGTACACTCAAAACATTCTAGGCTTAAGACCTGGCAAAATGACCTGGCTATGCTGCTGGTCGACACAGGAAATACCGTTTAACCCGTGCATGCAGTGTATGATGGTCACAGAAATGCATGACCGCATCCACCAGAGTCCTGCCAGTACCCTCGACGTACATGTATATGCGAGGGCCCGATCAATGCTGCTTGCAGCTTTAATTGTCTAAAACTTTTTCTTTTAAAAACATGTCTGTCTGTCTGTCTGTGTCCAGGTTGCAGTGAGCTGACAGACGGCTGTCTGTCCTACCTAAAGCGTCTCTCCTCTCTGACTCTGCTGGACCTTAGAGGCTGTAAAAGCATCAGCAGACGTGCCTGTGACGCCTTCATCGCTGACCTGTCCCATGTCGCCCTTTACTGTATGATGGAGGAGAAGCTCATCCAGCGCCTGGATTAACAAAAACACTTTGTGCCCCCACCCAGTCCGTGTCTGTACCTTTTTTATACAGAATAGTGAGGCAACAGTCCCGCCTTGCTGTGTGAAGGGGGCAACTGTTTCATAAAGAGAATAACAAAAATAATGTGTATGCGCAACCTTTTGTGTAGGTTGTTTTTCAAACTGTCTGAAACATTAAACCTGACCGTTGTGACTCCAAAGCTCCTAAAATCACAATGTCTTTTGATTCAACATATAAATGACCTCTTCCAGTTGTTTTTTTTTTCACCGTTTATGGAGCCTGGTCAGCAGTTTCTCCTTGCTTCAAATCCTGGTGCTATCTTTAAATTGATATCAGTCTTTTCATCTGGCAAGACTACAAACAATCTTTTTTCCAAAATGTCAGAATACTTCTTTAAAGAGTCTTGCCTCCACAGATTTGTGACCTCTCGAAGGTTGATATTCTTTTCATATCCTCTAGCATTGCTGGAATATGCACATAATGTTTAACCAGAAGTCTGGCTGAACATGAAACCACCTTTACTGTGTACAGGCTGACGCAGGATGTGACTGCTTGTAAGAGGTCTCGCAATTATTTTTGGGAGTAGAAATACAGAAACTAATTTGCTCACTGAACTGGAACAGATTCCACGTGTGTGTGTGTGTGTGTGTGTGTGTGTGTGTGAGAGTGTGTGAGAGAGAGAGAGAGAGAGAGAGACTCAATTGTAAATGTTTTGTTTTGTTTTTTTCTAACAGTGAAAACTTATAATAAATGTGAATGTTTGAACTTTCTATTTGTAGGCATTTGTGCCAGAGCTAAAGCAATGCGTTTCCCACAGACAAACATATGAAGTATTCTACACACAGTGTGTGTGTGAGAAAGGGAGTCAGTCTGAATCCAAATCCCAATGTCCCCCCTTACGGAGTCACAGACTTTGAGGCGCGCTCCCGCAAAGTCCTTGAGGGTATAGGGCTGTCCCACTGTCAGATCTGCGAGTGTTTGAGGGCTCTCTTGCAGACATTTTGAGCCCTTTATGAACCCTTTCCGTAAGTCGGCATTAGATGCAGACTTAGCCTAAGGGAATTACCCACAATCATTGCAATGTGATGTTAGACAAGGGGCAACAAGTGGACGCATGGAGACGTAAAAAAAAAGTAAACCAAGAGGACGGCTCAAGTGTGTTCAGCCTGTCTTGAATTTACTCAAACATTAAGGGTTAAAGATGGAACAAAAAATGTATTTATCAAATTTTGTTATTGAAGCTGTTGACAAATTTGTAAATAGATTATATGAAATGACCATCTTGTGAGGAAAGAGTCTAGAAGACGTTCAAATCAGGGAGTACAAAGTATAGAATAAATACCCACAATTATACATCAGATTTTGTCAAGTGCTGTCCCATTCCGATTTACACCATTTCAAGCCCTCAATCTCTCACACTCAACCATTTACCAGGTGACGTCAGTAAGTCCCTGAGGTTTCAGGGTTTGAGGCTGGGGGTGTTCTCTTTTTCACTTTAGTTTGTGGGCAGCAGAGGGGGCTGCTTCACCAACAGAGCTGACAGACGTCACCTATTAAGAGCACCGTCTTCTTCTCAGCAGTATCGCATCGTCTCAACCAAAAGCCATTTTAAAGACAAAATGAGACTTTTATTTCACACCAAAAATATGTCTGATATACACCCATCACACCTATTCACGGTGATGCTGTTAAACACAGTGGATAAGAACCAGTGAAAAGACCCAATTCTGAACTGGACTGGAAATCAGTCAACCAGCACAAACAATATTAGCACACATTTTAGATAAGTCACCTTTTCTAACTGACGATGTATAAAAGCTTCTTTGTCATTCACGAGTATATTCAGGAGCTGTTAAAGGCACTGCACTTTTACATTGCTTCATGTTCGGAAATGAAACCAACACCATTAATGTCTGCACATACAATAAGTGGCTACATGCATTTGTTTGTGATTGGGTGGACTGACCCTTTATCAGCAGTGCACCTGCTTTAAAAAAATCCTTTCAAACACAGATGTTCCAATCATCTTTTATTACAAACCAAAAATTAATTTACATCTATGAAGAAACACCAGCATACAGTGTGTGTCATTATGTGTGTGTTTGAGTCTGACTAATAGCTCTTGGTGGTCTCGTATGCATCTGGGAAAGGGAGGCTGACTTGTCCACTTCCACCCACCAGAGGCAGGACTCCAGCGTTGGGAACAACGTTCCATGACAGCGACAGAGTGATGTTCTTATTGGCCCTGGAGACGACACAGACGTGACAGTCAGCCAGTCACGTTACATAACAGATGTTCAAACTTAAACTTCAGATTTTATAATGGTATTCATCAGAAGCTTGTGTAAACATTTACATTATAACATAACATTTACAGTGCTATAATGTCCTGTGTCTCTGGAGGAGCTTTTGTCTGAGATAAAACAAAAGAAGTGGGCATTTATCAGACAGGAGAGCTCTAATAAAAGATTGATGTTAAATGTAGGATACGTTATTTTTGAAGACTGTCCAATGTTGAGCTAAAAGTACGACCATGTCAGCCTCTGCAGCTTTGATTATGACCTTTCTCTTTTTAATTAGTCTACTCTGTCCTTCATTCATGGAATACTATATTGCTGGATTAGTCCAGTACATCGCGTGCATCAGTACTTTTTATTCATGGCGCCAAAAGATATAACCAATATGATTCTGGTAACCCTTGACGTTTCATCTAATGAAAGTAAGTTCAAATTTCTACTCGTACATGTGAAATATCAAAACCTAATGGGCAGATTGCTATGAAATGTAAAAGTTAAAGTAAAAGTGTGTGTGTGGGTCCAACCGAAGTCCATTCCCGTCATCGAAGAAGAAGTATTTGGATTTCATGTCTCTGAGGTTCAGTTTGGTGTTTTCACCTCGAAGAACAATCTTATCCCACAGCACCACCTGGTTTAGAGACTGACACACACACACACACACACACACACACACACACACACACACACACA